GCACATGTGCCCGGTGTGAGTTTAAGCCACCGGGTTTGGGACTCAAACCACGGTCAACTACATGGGAGTTCAGCAACATAGCCATTACACCAACCACTGGTCCCTGTGTACACGTTTATCTCCGAGTAAAATTCACATTCCAGAAATACATGCCACACTACCCTACGGCTCAGCACACCCTCAATCTGGCCTACCCCAGGTGAAGAAGCAGAGGAAAGGATTAATTTCAAGAGTTCAAACTGCCACGGAAGCATAACAAACATATAATTTGAGAGTTTTTAAGGCATAAAGTTCTTTATGGGGATCTCATTTCCAAGCATAAAGTAGTGCTTTGCAGACTATTTTCTAGGAGGAGATGGGTTTCATGAAAACAGCAGAGCTGAGAGCAGGGACAGTTTGAGCAGGCTGGCTGGGCCCTTCCCTGGCTGTCCAGTTTCCTCTCCCCGTTTCCTAGCTAATGGGATTGGAGATGCCTTCCGCAAGGCAAAGCAGTGGGCCACAGGTAAAGCAGAGCAAACAGGACACTCCCAGCTGTCACAGCGGGACCCTCGCGGGGTCTGTGTTTTGTTACCGTTTTATCCCTGCTGCATAAGAGATACACTGACCAATTCATTTCAGTAGCTCATGCTTACCTGCTTACTCTAAAACCCAAACCCGCCCCAAGGCTAAAGGCATGTACATTTTGAGAAGAAGAGAAGAAACTGTAAGGTGCTACACTTCGGCACCTTCTCCATTATGCCTTTCCTTATTCGGGTTTTTTCCCAGACGGAATCAGAAGCATCCCTCTCATTCATCCCTGCTGAGGGAGCTACGGTGGCTCACGATCACCTCCAGGAAGCCCTCCCACACTCCCCCATCTGAAGGCCCCACTCCTGTCTGCCATGGGAGTCTGTTGGTCCCACCACAGAGCTTTAGAATTGGGTGGTCGGGAAAGTCATGATGCGTTTTTGCATATAAGAAAAATATGTCATGACTTTCCAAACGACCTAATACATGCCCCGGTAGGCTAATCTGCTTCCACCTTTTCTCTAGTGGCTGAGAGTTCATAACTACCTTTGTCAAACAATGTCCTAGACTCCCAGTGATGAGCCAGAACCCACCCAGTTTAAGTTGTCTTCAAAAACTCAAAAATGATCATAGTTCCGAAAAGAAGTAAATTTTCCTATTAAAACTTTTTTTAAGAGAGATTTGTGCTATAGGGCACATATGCTCACCAGAGAGACAGAAAGAGACAAAGAGACAGAAAGTGAGCATACAGCCCTGCAGGGGGAATGGCCATGCCACAATCCCTTCTCCTCCATTCTCCTCTCGGGATTTTGGGCATGCACGCGCATGCACCCAGCGTGACTTTTAAGCCGCCAGGTCCAGGACTCGAACTGTGGTCAACTACGTGGGAGTCCAGTCTCAACCATCACGCCATCTGCTAGTCTCTCCTATTAACACTTTTACCACCACATACTAAATTTCCACTTAAGTTTGATGGACCTCCATGATCTGATTCCTCCTCATCCTCCCACTCCAATCTCCTCGTTCGCCCTAGAGAATCTCTAACGCTGTAGGAGTGGAGAATAACTGAGTCCTTCGACACTCTTGTGGCTTACTTCACAAGCCCCTGACCCAGGAGCCCAGCACTCCTCTGTCTTCTCAGCAGCTGATGGGCCTGAGAATTCATGCAGGTGTTCCCTTCCCCTCTGTCCCTCCACACCTCTGCTCTTCCCAAAGGCGGCAGCAGCACAGTTACCCGCTCACCTATCCCCTCCTCAACCCCATACCCTTTTCAGGGTCTCACGGTCACATTAGCCCCACCATCTACAACAGCGGCCCATAAAGGCTTTCAATAAATGTCTGCCGAGCTGAACCTAATTCCAACAGACAGGGGAAGAGTCTATGATGTGAGAGTCTGCATCTCTCAGGACATTGTACATAGGCTATTACACAGAGTGTGTGTGTATAATATATATAATGTCATGGAGCATGAACGCATGGAGAGAGAGGAGGAGAGAGACCCTCTAAACAGGGCCTGGTCACACCATAATCCTTTCCCTCCAGTTACCCACTCCATCAGGATCCTGGGCACACGAGCACACACCCAGCATGCTTCTTCAGGCCACGGGGGCTGGGACTCAAACCCGGTCAGCCATGTGGAATCCAGCTTCCTGTGCGCGGTGTGTAATCACCACACTACGGAGCCAGCCCCAGAATATATGTTTTAAATGCAAAAACATTTCATACTTATGACCTAATAAATAATACTCGCATGCTGATTCACTACTTCCATAAATATCTGGACACCCATTAGCTGTCAGGAGCTGGGCTAGGCTAGGGCAGCTGCCGGTCGACAGGCAGCCCTCGCACCAAGTGGAACAGGGAACTTTCCCAGAACAGAAGAACTGAAGAGCGGGCCCATGGCCCTGAAAGCCCACCTCGCCGACACCGCTAGGCACGCAGGCCTTCCTGCAGTAATCAGTGAGAAAGTTTCTTCTGTAGGGAGTTCAGGCTCCCGTGAGCAGGGCAGGCAAATACACAATTGTCAACATTTTCTGTGACTGAAAAATCAGACTTCAGTATACTACACTGAATGGTCTCCACCTAAATTCCCATCTCATTTAAACACGGGTACTGGGGCCAGTAGATGGCGTGGTGTTTAAGGCACTGAACCACTGTCGACTGTGGTTCGAGCCCTCGACTTGGCAGCCTAAAAAGCACGCCAGGCAACGTGTGTGCATGCCAACATCGCAGGAGTGTGGAGGAGAAGGGGTTATGGCATGGCCAGCTCCCTTGGAGGGTGACTTCTCTCTCTCTCTCTCTCTCTCTCTCTCTCTCTCTCTCTCTTGCAAGTGCACATGCCCAATGGGAAAAAACCTTAAGAGGGAAAAAATAAAAGAAAAAAGGAAAAGAAACATGGGTACTAGAGAAAAGAAACATGGGTACTAGAATCATCAGTTTGAGCTTGCATCGAGGCATCCACCTTTGCCAAGAGAGTTCTAGTACTTTTTTAGGCAAGAAAAAAGCACTATTTCTACATTCAAGTAAGCCACAAAATTAACCACATTTTCAAGTATCACCTTACAGTGACTGGCCAAATGTATTTCACCAAAGAACATTTGCAATTAATCTACTCTATTTCTCAGTCTTTTTTTTTTCTTTTTTAATTCTTTTTGGCCAGGAACGTGTGCTCTCATCAGAGAGATGTTGAAAGAGGGAGCAAGCACCCTCCAACGGGGTATGATTACATCGCAATCCCTTTTCCTGTACTTGTCCATGTTGCTGGGACTTTGGACACACGACACGCACCCAGCATGCTTTTCAAGCTGCCAGGGCTTGGATCTGAACCACATAGCTGGCCATGGGATCTGGCTCGATCACTAGGCCACAGGGCCAGCCCAACTTTTAACTCATTTCTTAGCTTCCAATGCTCGAAAGATGTATTTTTTTCCTGCAATGGTAAATATTTCACTTTACTCAGCTTGGAATTTGCTCTAACGATTCTTCAATCAATGCTGGTCTCTTCTGTTTTTAAGTTTTTAGTTTCTGTGGGCATATATACATGTGCCCACCAGAAGCAGATAGGAAAAAAAAAAAAGAGATAGAGGGAAGAAAAGTGAGAAGTCACCCCACTCCCCCAGGAGAGATGGCTACAACACATTCCCTTCTCTAAGTCTAACAGATTTGAGGCACGCACGCAGGTGGGTCCAACATGGTTTTCAAGCTACTGGGTCCGGGACTTGAACTGCACAGCCACCCATGTGGGATCCAGTGCCTTAACCTCCACACCACCTGCTGATCCAACAATGGTCCATTCTTATCTCCTAAGTTTAAACATGAAAGATAATTACTATTCCCAATTAATAAAAACATTAAACTAAATAAAACATTGAGCTAGAATACACTTGCTCTGCTAATACTAAAATATCTGCTAGGGAGAAAACTCAGTTTTCTGTCTTTGGATGAAATCTGCATCACCTCTGCACTGTTGACCCACTGCATCCTCATGAAAAATAAATCAGTTTGCCTCTGTGTTCTGCGAATCGTGGTCTGAGTTAATGTCACACTACAACTCTTGTCACTTCTTATCTTGTTACTGAAAGTCACAGGGCAGTATACGAATAGATCTCAAAAGAAATACGGCGGTGTATTAAAAAAAATTAGACATAAAATTCATGATGACCCAAATGGCAAAGAATACTCAATCACCCATTTCAGATTTTCAATCCAAATAAGGTTTCTGTTCATAAATAGCCCTCCTAGGACCAGCAGGTGGCATAATGGTTATGTCACTGGACTCCCACAGAGTCAACCGTGGTTCAAGTCCTAAACCCGGCAGCTTAAAACTCACACCCGGTGTGTGTGTGTGTGTGTGTGTGTGTGTGTGTGTGTGTACCCCAAATCCTGAGAGAAGACTGGAGAAGGACTGCAGCATGGCCAACCCTCCAAGGGGACGATTTCATGCTTTCCTTCTCTCTGTGTTTCTCCAGCAAGCACACACGTCCTATAGTGAAATCTCTCTTTAAAAAAAAAAAAAAATAGTCCTCTTGGGAGCAGGCTGTGGCATGGCAGTGAAGGCAGCTGGAAGCCACATAGCCAGCCCCATGGTTCAAGTCCTGGACCTGGTAACTTGAAAAACACACCAGATATATGTGCATGTGTGCCCGGAATCCCAAAAGGAAAGAGAAATGGAGAAGGAATTACAAGTGCACATACCCTCTGACCAGAGGGAAAAAAGAAAAGAAAAAAACAGTAAATCTAGTCTTTAATACTCTCACCTAATGGCCAGGAAGGCACTGCAATTCAGTCAGATTCTATCTGATTCATTCAACAGATATTTCCTAAGAGTCTCCTGAGAGCCAGGAATCGAGCAGCGCAGGTGGAGAGGGACAAGGGGACAGAGCCACCGTGGAGCAGGGTCACCATCGAACAGGTGGCCACTCCTGGCTCCAGAGAGATAACCTCACTAAAAGCGGTAGCATCAGCACCGTTTCTACTTACGACAACAGTCTCACCTCGTAGATTTCTGGGATGAATCTGTTTTGTTCGAGGCATCTTCTTAGATTAGAGGCTCCTTTTTCTTCTTAGAAACTGTAGGAAGAGCAGGTCACAGAAAAGTAGCTCCATAAACTCAGCGGACATCAATTACTACTCCATGTGCTGAAAAAGGAATAAACAAGGAGCACGTTTTATTACCTTCCAAGGAAAATAATATTTTAAAAGTTATGACTTCGGACCATTTAGCATAATGGCTATGTCACTGGATTCCCATGTAGTCAACCATGGTTTGAGTCCCGGACCCGGTGGCTTAAAACTCACGCCAGTAGCATGTGCATGCGTGCCCAAGATCCCAAGAGGAGAATGGAGGAGAAGGGACTGCAGCATGGCCATCGCCCCCCACCAAGCCCTGAGGGGTGATTTCTCGCTTTCTGCCTCTCTGTCTTTCTGGCGAGTGCACGCGCCCTATAGCAAAAACCTCTCGGAAAAAAAAAAAGTTATAGCTTAGCATGGCATTAACCTAAATTCAAGAATTGGTAACCAAGCTGGGCACCACCACCAAAGATTACTAACTTTTAATTAAACAGGGGACAAACGGGACATTTTGCCAAGATCAAGGCCTTCTCATTAAGAAAACAAAACAAACAAAAAAAGAAATTATACCTTTATCAGACAAGTGTAAAAAAATTCACTTTGTGTTTTAAAATAACATTACGGGGTACGATTCAAGCATAGCATTAGACTACAAATGAGTTGTGCTGTTTCCAGCACACCTGCCCACTCATAAGGACAGGGGCCACGTCCTGCTTCTCTGGCTTTGCAGTGAATTTAGTTGGTGTGTGTGGTTGCTGTTAAGATTGTTCCCCAGCTATTCCAGCCCTCCCTTCTAGGTTCATGGCGGGATCACACTTTCTGCCTCCCAGTGTTTAGCTGGAATGCGTGAGCAGTCCCCGCTAAGGGCCTATGAGTGCAAGAGGCATGTTTTGCTTCAGGCTGGATCTTCCCGAGTCTTCTTTGCCCTCTGCCTGGGGATCAGGACCATTCCAGCCAGCCTGACAACACAGAGCTGAGCTCCCACCAGCTAATCCGACAGGCCTTTGTGCAAACACATCAAGGTTAGAACTTTTTGTTACAGCAGCATAACCTCATCTGTCCTGACTTACCGATTTTTTAAAAAGAGTGAAATGAAGTGCCATATGCCAAGAGGATGATAATCCCAAACCTAATCAACTATCTTCCCAAATCGGCCACCTTTGTCTCCTCTTCCACAAACTTTCAAGAATCCCAGAGCCAAAATTTCCGTTTTAACTTCCTGCACAACTACTAAGCAAAGCCACAAGGCGGGTGTTAAACTCGAAACAATGTTTAATCACTAAGGTGCAAGAACACAGAGCTCATTTAAACCTTGTTAGAGTGGTGCTGTAAAAGAAACAAAAGAAACAAAAGAAAACTGAGGGCCACACCAGGTGCCTGCATGTTTTCTACACAGTATCTAATTTAATCCTAACAATAACAGAGGAGGTGGCCATCCCTTACTCATTATAGATAAGAAAAGTAAAAGGGGAGGAGGATTAGTAACCTGCCCAAGATAGATAAGGCTGCAGGACCCCATGCCTCAGTAACTCCTGTGTATTTCCTCAGTGGAGATAACACCTACTCCCAGAGTTGCTCCCCCCATCCCCGGAGAGACTTTATTGTACATCAAGTCATGACTATGTCTGTCTATCCGTGTCAAACAAGACTGGGTTCCAAGCCATTCTTCGCCACTCACTGTGTGGCCTCACTCAAGTCACTTAACCTCTCTGAAGATCAAATTTCCCAACTATAAAACTAGGAAATATTATCCATCCCATAAGGTTGTTATAAGGACTAAATTAAACAATGTAAATGCTTTGCCTGTCACACGAAAATGCTGGAATATTCATTCCTTTTTAACCAAGCCTGTAAAGAAAGTGTCTAATATCCTAGTGTAAGGTTTTAGAAATTTATAGTTTCATTATAGCTCAGAAACAGAAGAAAGCTTCAATTAACTTCCCAGATAAGGCACAGAAAATATTTGCAATTTTTCTAACTGCACAGGAGGGATATGAAATGTGATGATCCAACAATTTGTGTTTCGATTAGCACTGTGTTCAAGGATTTAGGGAAGACAGGGTTCCTCAACTCTGCAGGAAAAGGACTACCACTCTCCCACTGAAGAAGGTTCTGATTCAACAGAGAATTTAGACACATTAGGGCCAAATACAGTACGAACGCTTAACCACAATCCTTGTTGAACTTAAAGCTTTAAAACGGTCAAGATATTTGGAAGTTTTTACAGCGTGAACTCGGATTGCAATCCAGTCATGTGATCCTACACGATCCCAAGCACAAACGTAAGACATGCAAATGCCCGATCTGTAACGGCTCCCTGCGGTCCCATTTCACTGCCTACCCACCGTCCCTAGCTGTCCAATAACCCATGTTTAAAATCCTCGTAGGGGGGAGTGGGTATTTCCAAAGGCAGGCACAGTATTGTAGCGACTAGAATGAGTGAGAAGACGTTGTTTTACGGGAAAGAAATAAATACTATACGGAGCAAAAACATGACACGATCAAAAAGCGTAAAGACAGTTGCAAGGAGAAAAAACATGAATGAATGTGGAGGGCGGAGCCTGGGAAAACCCCTCTGCAACGCTGCACTGAACAAAGCGCTTCGCATGCCAGGAGGAGGGGGGAATGGAAGTGCCAGCTCAGGAAGGAGGCTGGAGTGGATGCGGAGAGCAAGAGGAGGAGGAGGAAGACAGAGGAGGCGAGCGGCAGCCCTGAGACTCCTCCTCGCCGCCAGCTCCACCGCGACCGCCTCCCCTCTCCAGCCAGCAACTCCTTCCCGAGCCCGACCCCCAAGCGAGCCAGAGCCGACCCGCGCCCCAGCCCACCGCCCCCCTTCCCAAGTGCTGCAGGCGCTCATTCCCAACCCGGAAAGAAACTACCCAGGTGGCCGCGAGTAAACAGGCACTTGGAGCAAGAACGAAAGGGAAAGAAAGCCACAAAGCCGGGAGGTTGGGAAGCCGAGGCCTGGTCTCCTTCACCCCCCACCCACTTGCAAAATGCGTCTGCGGCTGGAAAGCGCCCGGGAAGGCTGGGTCCCTCCGTACCTGCTCTGCTCGCAGGACCGCAGCTCGGGCCGCTCGCGCGCAGCCAGGGCGCCCAGAAGTGGCAAGTGCCTCCCGCACGCAGCCATCCCCTCCGCAAGGTCCG